GAAAGAGAGAGAGAGAGAGAGAGAGAGAGAGAGAGAGAGAGAGCTAGAGCAAGAGAGAGAGAAAGACAGACAGACAGATAAACACAAAGACAGACAGACAGACAGACAGACGCACACGCTTCGTATCTAGTAAACACAAGTGCATACTAACACAAGTATCCGTTGCTGTTGTTTCTTTACTAACAACAGTATATTATTATTATGTGAGTGCTCAGGCTTGTCGTGGGTGTAACGTGTCGAAACAATAAGACTATTTAAGACAAGGGTCCTCCGACATCCTCACCATAATTATCATAGTATTAGAATACTAGTTCTGAAATAGAAATCATCGATCACGTTGCAAACCACTTGTTTGCGCAGATGCTCTACATATAACCCAATATTTGTAACGATCTGATGGAATCAGGATCTCTTTAGTTTTTAGGTATGTAGAGTTATTGGTGTCATCATAAAGCTTATTCATTTGTCTATCTTTCGAGAAAATAGATACTCTTCTATCTTCAACAATGTCGAGATATTCGTGATTGAAGGAAGTGGGTTCGCCTGATTTCAGAGGTAAAATTATAAGAGAAAAACGGCCGCCAAAGCTTGGTATCTTCCAAAGATTGAGAATTTTTGAAACTGAAAATTTATGTTTTTTGTGCCTTTCAACACGGTTTTTTAAAATAAAATCCCCACAGGAAGAAAGATACATTATTTTTAAAATTTATTACAATTTAAAACAAAATTTTCATGCTGTCTACAATCTCCTCAACGCTAATGAAATATTGCACCGTACGTTGTATGAGGTTTGCAATATTCTATTTAAGATATGATTATAAAATTGCGCCTAGCGAAACTTCAGATGTGAGGCAGCGTGGTGGAATCAGGCTCTCGTCAAAATATTCAAAGTCGAGAAACTTGCATTTTTCAGCAGAATTGTGAGTTTTTTTTTCAAATATTTGTTTTTTGGCTCTACACCTTTCATGCCCATTAAAAAACTCATTTCTGTGTGGGTTTTTCTTAAAAACGTTGATTAAAGGCTAAAAAAACTGTATATTATCAGTTACCACGGACTCTTAAGCTAAGGAAATAACTAATCTTTGGTGGCCATTTTCTCACTTATTTTACCTCCGAAAACAGGTGACCCCACCTCCTTCATTGGCAAATATCTCGATTTGTATTCAAGATAAAAGGATTTTTTTCCATTGAAATAAAGACAAGTGAACAAGCTTTAAGATGACACCAATAACTCTAGATGCCCAAAAATTGACGAGAGCCTGGTTCCACCACACTGCCTCACAATCTTTCAAAGACCAAGAAGCTTACATGATAACAATACTTTACAAATACCATTGTGTTTATCTACGTTGGGTTTTAGTTTTGCTCCACGCAAAAGCACCCTGTTCTAATTGCTAGTTACATTCGATAGGTGGATAATTTGAAGGGACAAACGCCTACGTTCTATCGGTGACCCATAAATAAAAAGACATTTCGGGCAGTAAACGTCGTTTCTGACTTACGTTCAATAAACGTCGAATTTTTTGGTTTAAAAAACAAAAAACAGATTGAAATGTACTTGTTGGGTTTTCTTCCTAGTTTAGTATCAACATTCAAACTGGATTGTTCGATTGTTTTCAAGCGATTTCAGTGATTACTCCACACACATTATACCACAGTTTTCAAAGAGGGCGATTTACGACAACGTTAATTCTACTACTTTGAAAACAGCAATAATGTATTGTACAGTGGATACTGGTTTCAGTACTTTTCTTTACAAAACAAATTAGGTTCACAATAAAGTACGAATCTAATTCTTCTTCTTTCTTGCGTTCCGTCCTAGATGTCATGTGTAGTCGACTGCTGGTTATCTAATTCTTGTTAGAACCATATCGATTCTTTCTTGCTGAGTGCAAAAAAAAAAAAGATTTTGCACTAAAGTCCATTAGGTTCTAATTTCGATAGCTGTCTGTGCTTTTGACACGTTGTCAAGATTTTCTGATTCTAAAAGCAGCCTGTCGCAGTAAAATACCTATGTTGTCAGTACCGCTAGAAACGTAATTATAATACCAGTGCCTTCGACCTCAAATTTCTGCTTGCTTTCCAGATTCTTGCCGGAGGCAATTTGAAAACGACTCACATTCAGATAGCTGTCGTATAGTATGGTATGGTATGCTATGTTAAGCTACGTTATGATTCGATAGATAAATAGATAGATAGATAGATAGATAGATAGATGGATAGATAGATCGATAGATAGATAGATAGATCGACAGATAGATAGACAGAGAGAGAGAGAGAGAGAGAGAGAGAGAGGGAGAATGAGAGAGAAAGATGAATTGAAAGGGGCGGGGGGGGGGAACTAAAAAGACTGTCTTTAACATAGAAACAGTGGGGGAGAAGGAAAAATGACAGACAAACCGAGAGAAAGACAGGCAAATGGACACACACACACAGACACAAACACATAAACATACAGACACATCCAGCCATTTATCCATCCACCCATCCAACCAAACACCAACCCAAAGAAAGAGAATGGGGTATAGAAAGATAAAGACATTTTAAGCGGCAGAAAGAGAGAGAGAGAGAGAGAGAGAGAGAGAGAGAGAGAGAGAGAGAGAGAGAAAGAGAGAGAGAGAGACAGAGAGACAGCGAGACAGCGAGACTAGAGATAGATAGATAGGTAGATAGATAGATAGATAGAGAGA